AAAACTACACCATGAGGAAGCAAGAGCAAAATCTAGATTGTGGGAAACTCTATAGGACAAGTGACTCAATTTCCTAAAAATAAACTAACAGAGGGTAAAAAAAAAAAAAAGAAATGGGGGGGAGCCTATAAATTAAAGGAGACGTGAAGGCCACAACAACCAATTGCAAACAAACAAACTCTAAAACAATTAAAATAAATTATGAGACAATTACAGCATTGAAAAATGGAATATTCAATTATATTAAAGAATAGTTCTAATTTTTAGGTGCAATGGTGGTATTACGGTTATGTCAAAAGTGTCTTTTCTTGGGGCGCCTGGGCGGCTCAGTCAGTTAAGCGTCTGCCTTCGGCTCAGGTCATTTCAGGGTCCTGGGATCGAGCCCCGCATCGGGCTCCCTGCTTCTCCCTCTCCCTCTGTCTACCACTCTGCCTACTTGTGCTCTTTCTGTGTCAAATAAATAAATAAATAAAATCTTAAAAAAAAACCTGTGTTTTCTTGTTTTTTAGAGATATATATACTCATGTGTATAGGTAAAATGATATGAGCCTGGAAAATTTGTTTCAAAATAATACAGAAGGGAGGAGTTGGGGATGTGGGATTCTTGTGCTGTTCTGTTTATCTTTGTGTATGTTTGGGGTTTTCCATAATAACAATGATCTTAAAATTGCATTATAAATTGTGCTTTATGTTTTGACACACTATTGTTTCTCCACAAATGATTTTTATGTGTTGATCTATATTTAGTAATCTTGCTGAATTTTTGTTTGTCTTTTAATAACTTGTCTGTAGAGGCCCTCAGATTTTCCATATAAGTAATACTATTGTCTGGGAATAATGACAGTGTCATTTCCTCCTTTCTGTCCTTTGGTTTCCCTACCGTGCTACCACAATGTTGAAATAGAAGCAATGACAGAGGGCGTCCTTATCCTAGTTCTTTCTCTCAAGAGAATGCTTTTAAAGTTCTACCATTAAAGTGTGATGTTTACTGTAAGTTTTTGGTAGCACTCTTTATTAAAATCAGTAAGTCTTCCTCTGTTCCCACTTTAGTAATTTTAAATCATGAATGGGTGAATGTCATAAATTTATTTTTCCTTTTGTATCTATTGAGATGACCCTGAGGTTTTTCTCCTTTAACCTCTTGATGTGAATTACATAAACAGACATTCCCATATTAGACTATCTTTGAATTCCTGGGATAAACTGAATTCAGTCATGAATTCAGTACACACACACATACATATACCTATATATATACACACACACACACACCATATATCATAAAATATTATATATTTAAATATAAGCTTAAGGACTTGATTGGCTAATATTTTACTTAGGAATTTTGCATCTTTGACATAAGTGAGATTAGATTGGTCTGAAAATTTCCTTTCTTATGTTGTCCTTGTCTCTAGTTTCAACTGCTTTTTGGTTTTGATGAATTTGGGTCTCAAGTCAGATAGAAGCTTTACTGCCTGGAAGGTGAAGAGAATTTTCAGGATCAAGGGGCAACAGCTGTATTCTGGGATTCTGGGGACTTCCCTGGGGTTTCCATTCTGGGTTAAGTGGAATGAGCCAGAAACATTCTTAAGGACGGACCACTTCCCACCATGAAGGAGGACTTTGAAATACTTTCCAGAAGCAAAAAATAAAGCAGTAACAGAGAGCGTAGGTCAACCAGGCTGCTAAGAACTTGCAGGTTATTCTGAGCCCAGTACTGGGGCTCTAGACCGCAGAGTCTGGCAGGGTACGGAGACTGCATAGGCCTCACAGGGAGCAAATCAGGGAGAAAGGAGCCCCGACTGACATCAAGTGGCAGCCCTTTGCAGGGAGTACCACTTTCCAGGCTGTAGAATCTGGGCAGTGGCACTGTCTCAACTCCTGGGCACACACTTCTGATCTATTTTTTCTACAGCTTTAAGAGAAATTTTTGCAACACTGGCTACTCCACTTCTTTGCCCAGGCTGGGGAGTCATTATATTTGCTCCCTCTGGAGCTGTTTATTGCTGGAGTCAGGAACTGCCCCTGAGGAAAGGCCTTCAAACCTCGCCTATAGCTACTGGGCCAGTGGGAACTGGGCGTCTACAAGGCAGCAGTGGGCCCAGCACTGATGTTTTCTCTCCTGTCCTCAGGGTGAGGAAATGTAGAGCCAGCTCCGACCCTGTAGAGAAGGGTAATGGCAAAAGGGGATGGCAGAGAGAAGGAACGGGGACAGAGCTGTCCTACCCCTTGCCTGCCAGCTTGGATGTTTCCATGAGAGAGAAATAAACCTTCCATCTTATTTGAAGTCACTTTATCTTGGTCTCTGTTAGAATGCTTGTATAATATCCTAACTACTACACATCCATCTCTTGAATAAAGCTCTGAGCCTTTTATCCTGGTAGAATAGAAATGGCTCACTGGTTTCTAAGGGTTTCTATAAGACCTGCCTTTTGTCTCCCTCCCCCCACCATTGTTTTAGGCTACTCATTAGGGACCCCCTGCACCTCATGCAGGGCTCTCCAAACCTCCAACTCCTCCTAAGAATATCTAAAGTTCTGCCACATTCTAAGGGGTTACATCACTATTGCTCCATAACCCTTCACAGAATGCAGAGGCCGGTAACACTGCTTCGTTCAGACTGGCTCTGCTGCCCACGCTTGGCCTTAAGTAAAAAAAGGACTTACACAGAGGACTCACTTAATCAATCCCCAAGATCAAGCCCCCCTGTCACTGAGGCTGATCTAGAAAGTAATCATCATGTTACCAACTTAGAACCAGTCTCTGCCGACAAGGTACAACTTATGGCTACTAAATTAAGGTTTTTAAGAAATAGACGAACAGCTGGCTTTTAGTGAGCAGGTACTCGTATACATTACACGGATTAGCTCCTTTATCTCTCAGTCACCTCATGAGATAAGGAGTATTAGTACCTCCATTTTACAGATGAAGAAAAAGATGCCCAGAGTTTAGTAGCATACTCAAGGGCATGCAGTTAGTAAGTGGGGAAACCAGGACCCGAACCCAGAGAATCAGACTTGCTCTCAGTGCTCTTGATCACTGTGATTCTGCCTAGACAGTACCCTCCACTCCTTCCACCCCCATTATTTTCAAAAGAACAGATGAAATCGAGTCGCTGCTAAATTTAGATAAATAAATTCTAGAAGCAAGGCCCAGGGCAGTGATTCTCAAAGTGTGGTCCCTGTGCCCCCACCCTTAGCATCACCGGCAACCTTACTAAAATTGTAAATTCTATGACCTCAACCCAGATCTAATCAGAAACCCCGGGGACAGGCTCTCAAGTGGTTCTAATGCACACTGGAAGCTTGAAACTGCTGGCCTAGGAAAGAAACACGAATTGAATTTTTATTCTTTCTTTGGGCCGTGGGGGTAGGGAAAAGAGGTGGAAAGGAAAGTTTTGTACTTAAGCAATTTTCCAAACCCTCTTTGATTTGTCTGGTGAAAACTTGCATGCAGTAATCTCACCGAGTCTGAGACTCAAGGTATTCTCAGGGGAGATTCTCAGGGCTCACTGCTCATAATTTAAACATGAAGATCACTACTTAATTTAGTGTAGGAAAAAAAATCCTGGCAATTGGATGTAAGACCTATGAAGGGAAGAGCGATTCTTAAATAGTTAAAAAAAAAAATTCCTTGGCATGCCGTCTTGTTTTCCTTCAAAGATTTGAAATCCTTTTTAAACATTAGCATTTATCATTCAAGACAGGCAAATGCCTTCTTTAATTTTCTGCAGTGATATTTCACTGCATTAAAGACTGTCTGGATAACCTTTATGGAACTCAGCCGGAGCCCGTCCCTCTGTCATGAGACAGGAAATCTGTTTCAACTGACTTGGTCATTGCTTAGATTTGGCCATGTTCTGCACTGCCTAAAACCTCCACTGCACTGGGCCAGGATCTTGGAGCCTCATCAGTGTTCACATTCTGCATATGTGACTTATGATATGAAAGGTCTGAAGACTGGAGCATGTTTCCTTGGCTACTGTCACTCAGCTTTGAAAATGGAGGGGGTGGGAGACTTATTTTAGCAAAAGCTCTGCTCAAAAGCTTGACCAAACCCAGAAATTGGACTATCATAATATTTTATTGTCTGATATGCAGAAGCAATGAAATCTTTTTAAAATTTTTTTTAAAGAGGGAGAGAACATGCAAGCTGGGGTGGGGGGGGGCAGAAGGAGAAGGAGAGAGAGAGAATCTCAGGCAGGCTCCACACCTAGCACAGAACCCTATGCGGGGCTTGATCCCATGACCCTGAGATCGTGACCCAAGCCAAAATCAAGAGTCCTACGCTCAACCGACAGAGCCACCCAGGTGCCCCAGCAATGAAGTCTTTCAAAATGAGTATAAAAATTATTTTTGTCTAGAATGTCAACTGAAAGAAATAGTAAAATATGTAAACCGAAAAATACCAAGTTTAGGGTGAAATCCCAAATCCATGACTTTGCACATTTATCTCTAGTGAGCTCTCACAGTCTCCCTCACCTCATGGGTTCTAGAGGAGATAGGAGGAGTCCTGGTGTCATTTCACAGGTTGATAAACTGTGACCGTGAGAGGGTAGACATTTAATCATTACGATATCCAAGTCAAGACTAATATTTGTGAAAGGGCTACTATCTATGAATTACTTCATTTATTTCTCATGCAACCTTATGAGGGGAGTCCTGTTTTCAGCCTCAGTTAAGGACACTGAGGCACAGAGGGGTTAAGGCAGAGCTAGGCCAACTGCAGAGCCCATGTTCTCCACTCAGCTGCCCAGAGCTGCTGTTGCTAGCCTACATAGAGTACCTTATGTGAACCAAGCAAGGCACCCCCGGAGAAGGGCCGAGTAGGAAAAGGAGCCCCCACTGCGTGGAGACCCCCAGTCCTGAGGTGCTTGGTTTTGGGAGCGGAGCACAGGCCCCTATTTGCTCCCTCTGCTGGATGCCTTTGTATAGCAAACAACAAACAATTCTTTCTGGCCGGCACTGTGTCCACCCCTTGGGAACACAAGAGTCTCTCACATATCAGTTTCCACACCTGCAAGATGCAATGAGGATAAAGAACAGTCCTGCTGCCTGGGTCTACCCAACTGCAGCATCAGGCAGATGCACAGGTGCCCTCAGGGACGAGATTAGAGTCTAGCTCAGAGTCTGGGAATATGAACTGTGCCAAAAAGCCCAGTTCTGGGCCCAATATTTCCAGAATCATCATTATTAAATGCAGCATCATTTTTGGAGGAAGCCACACTCGAACAACTCTGGCCACTCAGGGTGGTGGGGCAACAAGCTCTGGGTCTCTAAAGACACTGGTCGCCCCCTCTGCTGGAATATTAACCCTCTAGGCAGGGAACCTCAGCTCCTGCACCTGCATATCGGAGCCCGTGTGCAGACAGGAGGAACAGAGAAGTGGAGGTGCTTATATAGACTTTTCATGATGCCCCAGAGTCTCCACTCTCTTCTTAATCTGCGGCCTCTGGCAGGAAAGAAATCTTTCAGTAAGTCCAAGGATATAAAAGTACGTTATCATCAATTGGTTGGTGATGCGCTAAGAACCATCAGCATCTGAACTCAGCACTTTGGCATGTTTTCTGACTTCTGCCCTGAGAGGAAATGGAAGGGTCATTCTGCATTAACATCTTTGAACCAGTGCAAACCTCAGACAAGTATTGTGATAAGATTTAAAAACCAACCCAGCTGTCTCTACCTTGGGTGTCTTGATGATTTTCTCCAAGGGGTCCTTCTGGTTCTTCATGATCATCCAGTTCATCTCCATTTTCCTATGAGGTTAATGCATAATAAAAAAAATACGTAAGATAAAATAAAGGTGAAAGGAAACCCAGTTTTCTTAGTTGTTTCTTCTCCTTCTTTGTCAGCTTATTTTAACTTTCAGTGTCCAAAAAGTCTAGTACTGGTGTGAAGAGCCCTAAAGAGCCGGGTGGGCTTAGCCGTGGTGTTGAGCACTGGTGGGGTCTCAGTTGTACTTCTCTTGGCGGGGGCTGACCCATTCATGTGTACAGTGCTCCATGCCTGGCATTAACTGGGATGGGAAGAAGAACGCCACAGGCCAGCCAACTCACAAAGGAAGCAAGGTACCTCCAGGGACTTGATGGATGACTGGGGTGATGAGAGCAGACACTGAAAGAATGGGAAGGGTGGGATGAATCAGAATCCAAAGGCCTTGAAGGTAGATTAAGGTCTTGGTCTTTATCTTGAGAACACATGGAAGGTACTGAGGGTCAGATTGACCTTTTGTCGAGTTTCCAGGATTACCACGGATTGGGTTTCTTATCACATCTAATCCCCTCTTCCTTCTTTCTCCCAGTCATACAAACTGCGTGCCATCCACCATCTAGAAATCTCCATAACAGCGGTTCTCAACCCTGGCTGCAAAGTTAGAATTATTTGCGGAGCTTTAAAAAATATGATTTCCAGTCCTGACCTCCAAAGCATAAAATCAGACTTTCTGGAACTAGGGCAATTTTAAGGCTTCTTGGTTGATTCCAATATGTACTGGGATTGACAGTCACTGTTCTTCTCTAGACCGACCATTAATAGAAGAGCAGTTTTTGGTAGCCAAGGTGATGTGGCAGGTAGAGTCAATGACTTAAGTAAAGCCTCATGTGTCTGATGAAGCCAGCTCTTGGCCTTTGTCACCTGGATCTCTGCTGAATCCACATCTTCATTTCAGCTACAGAGAAGGAACTGGATATGGAGAGCCCTGGAAGTCTCTCCTAGGACCAAAGTTCCTCAATCTTTAGTGACAATCAGTTTTTCCACTTTGTTATCAAATGCCCAAGCTACTTTGGGAAGAGACAATTAATTATCTGCTAATTTGTTTGACATTCTCTTCTTACTTTATAGATTTTTACCCTGCGTGTTTCTCATTTGTCGGCTTCGTGTTTGTAGCCAATGAGATAGTCTGACATAAAAGAGCTGGAGCTAGGGCTGACTCAGTTGGAAGAGCATGTGACTCTTGATCTCAGGTATGTGAGTTCGAGCCACACATTGGGCATAGAGATTATGTAAATAAACAAACAAACAAACAAACAAATGAATCTGTAAAAAAATAGAGCTAGGGCAGGTAAATAATTTTTTTTTTTTTTGGCTTTTTAAGTTTTTATTTATTTATTTTTTAAGGTTTTTTTTTTTTTTTTTTTTTTAGTAATCTCTATACCTAATGTGGACCTCAAACTTACGACTCTGGGATCAAGAGTCACATCATGCTCTTCCAAATGAGTCAGCCAGGTGTCCCCTAAGTTTTTATTTTAATTCCAGTTCATTAACATACAGTGTTATATTAGTTTTAGGTGTACAAAAAAATAGGGAATGCTTCATGAATTTGTGTGTCATCCTTATTCAGGGACTGTGCTAACCTTCTCTGTATCATTCCAATTTTAGTAAATGTGCTGCCGAAGTGAGCACAGTAATTTTCTTTCTTTTGCATTTCTCATTTTGGAGACAAAGTGGATTTAGCCTTGGTACAGTAAAAAAATTCATCCCTAAATAAATGGAAAGGTTTTTTGAAAAATTACAACAGGAAAACCCACCTCAGTCTCTGTAAACTGCTAAGTTATGAGAGTAGAAAAGAGATAAACTAAAAGACAAATTCCTGTTTATAAGTCCTTTTAATCTAACAGGAAACTGGATTAAAAGGAAGAAACAAGTTTGCTCCTTTGGAAGAATTTCAAAGACAAGAAGGATAAACCTTCAGTCTTAACAATATGTAGCTATGAGCCTTCAGTGGCAAGAAATATTTTCATTTCGCAGATGGGGAGATGGAGGCAGAGAGAGTCAGGACTTTTAAAGAACCTTCTGGTGGGTCCCTGTTAGAAAAAGAAGTAGTCTGAATTTGAAATTCTGTCTGTTGCTTAGAAAACTATAAAAAAACCCTATCATGTTTAAATATATGAACACACGTGAGAAGTGACTTATACCTAAGGCCATTCACTGCAACTGATTTGAAACCACCTAAAAGTGCTACCATTTGAGGACTAGTCAAATAAATTATGGTAATTCACACAATGGAATATTACACAACCATGAAAAGCATCTCTTTATGAATTAACATAGAAAGAACTCCAAGCTCTATTAAGTAAAAAGATGTAAGACTCTGAACAATGTGTATGATATTACAGTGTGTATAAAATATGTGTCTGTGTATTCCTCTACGTGTGCTGGCTTATATATGTGTACCACAGGTCAGGAAGGACACACAGGAAGCTAGCAACAGTGGAACCCGGGGGGAGGGGAGCTGAGAGACATACCCTTTTGTACCTAAATTTTCAAAGACTGTCTGAGTATATTTCAAATTCAAAATTTGAATTAAAAAACTAAAACTACTAACATAACATTGTATGCCAACTATACAGCAATAAAAAAAAAACTAAACCAGGAGCACCTGGGTGGCTCAGTCAGTTAAACATCTGCCTTTGGCTCAGGTCATGATCTCAGGGTCCTGGGATTGAGCCCTACGTCAGGCTCTTTGCTCAGTGGGGAGTCTGCTTCTCCCTCTGCCTCTGTGCTCTCTCTCCCTCTCAAATAAATAAATAAAATCTTAAGGGGCACCTGGGTGGCTCAGATGGTTAAGCGTCTGCCTTCGGCTCAGGTCATGATCCCAGGGTCCTGGGATCGAGTCCCGCATCGGGCTTCCTGCTAGGCA